AAACCAAACCCAAAAAACCTCGACAAGCCCTTCAACCAACTAAATGCCCAAATTGTTAGGAACTGAAAAAACCCCCAACTATTAAGGGTTCAAAACCAACCTTAATTCTGGCCTTACATTCTTATAAATTCTACAGGACAGTGTAGGAACTGCCAAGCACATCTCACACCCTCCTTGCTATACAGATGAACTCCAACAGCTCATCTTCACATGCTCCCCCTTCCTGCCCATACTTAGCATAAAAGTTTTCTAACAACCGTCTTGTTACACTGAGTGGAAAAAAAACCACAAAATATGTGGGTTTTAGCCGAAAATTACTAACTTGGGTTGAAACACAATATCTTGCATTAGCAGATGGAGATCCATTCCAGAATTTCCATTGGATCCATCTGAAGCAGCAAACCTGAGTTGCCTTATCTTCATTGCTATTTTAACCTCCACTAGCAAGCCTGGGCCAACCCACCCACATTTAGATACAATATTTATTTGTAATATAAACAATACCCATGTCACAATGGATAAAGGGCAGATCTGTGGGATTTCATATGGGAAAAGACAACTGGCTTTGCCAGCCACCGTTCCTAATAACCACCTGTCTTCTATTAGTGTCCTAAATGAGGAGGTGGGATATGTCTTGGGGGGGGTCTAATGACTGACCAGAGAAAAGGAGCTGAAGGGAAGGTGGAGCCTGGTTACGTGTGCTCTCCACTCAGCAGGGAGGCCCCTGTGTGCTAGAGAGAGGCTCCACTTTCATCTACATGAAGAGAAAGCAGAAGTAAAGGTCCCTTTCAGGAAGGGTAAGGGGTCTCCTAGCAAAAGCATTTAAGCAACAGACTGGGAGGGAGAGGACGTCAGATCACGGAGGGGGTCAGTGCAATGACTTGCTTCTCAAACACAGAGTGAACAATCTTGCGCTTAATTTAAATACAAGTGATGAGTTGTAAGAGTGGTGAAAATGGCAAATAAATTCTAGGAAATTGCATATAAAGAGGAATCACTGTTATTAAATCATTTAGGACGGATGTGTTTCAAATCTAGCTCACAGTTGAAATCGTTTTACAGCTATAGCTGTGGAGTTTTAACAAAATTGCAGAATCGCAGTGTATCTGCCAGGGATTTATTTTAAGGATTGCGGAGTAGTTACATGAATGAATCTCAATAGACTCAATATGTTGTTGTGACCTGAACTCTTTAGTGATTTCCCCTGCAGTTATGTATGCAAGAACCAACAACATGTGTGTATTTGTGTGCATGTACACATGAGACAGGGAACTTTCACACACACATGTAGGCTTACTCCTCAGCTCCACGGGCAGGCTTTCTACAGACTGTTCCTACAAGATAACGATACAATTTCTTAACATTAGCATCATGGTATTTCTTTTCACATCTCCCCAGAGATCTCTTGTTTCCTCTGATCTGTATCCTGTCTGTATTAGAAAGGAAAGACTATACTGCCCAGCACACTCCTGGTACTCAATCTCACGCCAAGCTTTGGGTGCTAATCCTATCACCTCTGTACTGCCTGTCTCTCCTCTTGGTCATGTGTGTGTGTATGTACAGACACACACATCTGCTAGTGACAACCCTACACTGGCTGCTTTCCCTGACCTGCTTTGTACAAGAAGGGAACAGGACACTGGCCCATAGCTGCCTCCATAGCCCAGCTGTCAACATCAGCATCCACTCTTTTTTTCTCCAGAAGCTATGTACTGTATTTCTACTTTAAACACATCTCTACATCAACTGTCAGTCTAGCAGTTCAAAGACCCTTGTTCCTAGGTGCTCCTGTTCTTCTCACTATGCAAAGATATTCTCCACCAGAATTTGGCTACTGAAGCACTGGGAGACAGAAAAAAAATAATTCAAAATACGGCTTTTTTTCTTTGCTTACTTCCAGCAGATAGCTGGAATATTTCAAAAAATTCATCCCAAGCATGAGCAATGAGCACTTCTGAAAATACTGATTCTAAACTAGTGCAGATCAAACTTCTCAAATAGCCTCAACCATTTTAGAAATGCCTGTTGACACAGATACGGCTGTTAACTTGTCAGCTCTAGAGGGCAGAGCATGTGCTAACACTCACTTGACGGTCTCAACAATTCTCCTTGACTGCAGCAGCACACAGCATAATGCTCTTGTTGGTCCATGGGAAGGACTGCATGCCCTTATGAATACAAAAATTATAACCATTTCTGTTTCTTGACAGAGCTCCAACTCGTCAGTAATGTTTCAACGGAATAATGGCCACGAACCCCAGCAGCAATTACAGAGATGTGTTTTGTTTTATTTATTTAATGCATAAGTACAAGCTTTTTAATGAACATGAAAGAAAGTGATGATGCACTGGCAGAACATTGGGGAACATGGAGGAAAGGATATTGAAAGCTTTGAGCACTGCTCTCCTCTCTTCTGTCTTGCACTTTGTCCCTCTCATGCATTTGCCCTCTCTGCCCATGGTTCCACTGTGGAAGCCATATGGCTTCCAACCCTCTTCTAAGTAGCCACTGAGAATTGTCTATAGTGGAATACTGCCAAAGCCCTTCCTGGTTTAATGACATGGGGAAGAGCGCTGTGCATTGCTCACCCAGCACAGAGACTCACTGCGTCCTTGATTATGATCCTGGAGCCAGCAAGTGATGCTGGGAATTGAACCATCAGTGCCTCAAATACAGAAGTCGACATGTGCCAACCCCTGCTGCATTCAGCCTCTGTGCGTGGCATATTAATGAGTCTTGAACTTGAGGTCCAACCTTCAAGCTTGCAAAGAAGGAATTACCCAAAGACAAAAAAAAAAAAAGGCCCTCTTTCTCCTGTTTCCCTCTAACCTTGCATAGTATCACTTGCAAAATGATACTAGTTTCTTCACTGAGCTTGTTCAGTCCTCAAGCAGTAACTTTTTTTTTTGTCCATCACATCATACCTGTGCTTATATAACAATTTCCCTTGATTTAAAGATCTGAAAAAATAGCTTGAAAAGATACTCAGAAAAACACATTAAACCAAGGTATAGGAGGGGACAGATGTCTCAGTACTAACCCTCATTCTCATACCCTATCCATAAATACCTGCTAAATGTTGGAATCACGATATTGAGCTAGATGGAGCTTTCTTCTGCCTGTTTATGCCCTACAGCACTAGATAGCAGGAACATGCAGTTATCAGTGTGGTAACAGTCTCAGTCTAAACGGGAAAGAGGAGGGTGCTCAGCCTGATGGCTTCATTCCCAATACGAAAAAAAGCATTGCTGGAGACCCCCTCAGTGCCATGGGTGTCAGAAAGGGAGCCCAAAGGAAGTCAATGATGCACTACAACCCCCAGCTGTATAACCGAGTTTGGAATTGCTCAGTCTTATTTTACTTGAATTTCCCGATTTAGAGGAAAGCCACAGCCATCTAGTCAGCTTGGGCATTGGATACAGGGAAGTTTTGCATTTTTTGGGGGCCTTGCAAATGCCTGGTGCATAGTGAAGGCTGGTCTCTTATTTTCTGAGAAACAACTTTTCTCCACATGTACATTTGGCAGCAGAGGCACAACACAGATGAAAAGGCCCCTGCAGAAGGATGCTCTCTTTCTTTCGAAAGGGTTGTACCTCTGGAGGGGAATTTGACAACCTATGAAAGCTGTGTCCTGCTGCAAATCTGTCCAAAAGTCAGAGAAGGGGACAGCGTGTAGAGGGTGAACAGAGCCAATGTAAAATGTAACTCTCCAGGACAGCATGTTTCTCTGGTGGTAAGAGGGAAGGACAACACATTGCCAACCCCGAAACCACAGTCTATAGTTTTCCTAGGCAAAGATAAAAGACTTAACAAGCCTGTAAAAAAAACACACACTGAATTTTATTTCTGTCAAGAAATAAATTAAGTTATGATGTTCGGGAAATCTCACCTTTGAAGCACTTTAGAAAATTAACTAATCAAAGCCCACAACCATCCCTGCTGAAAGCCTACTGACAGCTCGGAAGAAACATCACAAGATTTACCCAGTCACAAAAGCTATACTGGACGTGCATTATTTGAGGGACCTGGCCTAGGGCATCAAAGCCCAATTTGTTCTATGTCACCAGGCCTGCAAAGGCAGTGGTCTTCAAACACACACACTTGACCTATTCGACTCCCCAACTCACTCAGTAACAGCCATGATGCCAGAGTAGATAAACTGGTGGCAGTCGGTCAAGTACAGTGACTCCAACTCATGCACGTTACTGCTCAGAGTTTCTGTGACAAAGAGCAACACTTTTTCAAATACCCCACCTCTTTCTCCAGTATATCACAAAACTCATTGCAAATTCTCATCACAGAGAAGTGCAGTATGGCAAGGTAACAAGAACAGAGTGCAGATCCAGACAGCATTTTCACAATACAAGACAGAAGTACTAGAAGTCTACGTGAACTATTCTGTTTCTTCCTCAGCTTTTACCTGACAGAAATCAACAAAATAACTCACGCTAATTTTGATGGGAACGAACATCAAATCACTTCACTACACATTGCTCTAATTATTTTAGCAATCCTGAAATAAAGCAGCATATAATAACTATTATCCTAAACCAATACACGGTGCAGCAGCAGTGGACACACATTCCCTGAAGAGCTAAATAACTTCATTTTATCAATGGTGACGTTCTCCAAATTATAATGGCAAGTACTACTGTGATATCAAAACCAAGAAGCACCATTCTTCTATGAATAAGCTGCTCAGGTTCCAAAATACCAACCAAAAATATGTTCTTTCTTAAGTATTTCAGAACACAGAGTAAGATTTGCTTTTAAGAAAGGCAAGACCTTTTTGAGGTAGCTGTGACTCGGAAAGTCACAGGAGTCCCATAAGTCTAAAATGAAAGTTGCTGATTGGGCTTTATCAGTCATGCCTCTGTTTCAGCTCATCTGGGTGGGTACTAAACCAGGATCATTACATTTACAGAGTCTTGCTCTTTCAAACATAAATACGCAGTAACCAGCTTTACCATATTTAATAAAACAATAAACTTCGTGCTGACCTTTGGCAAGCGTTCGGGGTCACCAGGGTGCCGGGGGATAACCTTCTGTAACCTTTGGAAACCATAGTCAATGGTGGGTTCGTTCAGAGCTGAAACAACAAATAACATCATGATGTGACAATCGCACAGCAAGCAGGCTCCGTCGCACCATAACAATTGTCAATGCATTGCAAGAGCAAGGAAGGATCACAGCAAATTCCCCTTTTACTGAAATCACCACTGACTACGAAGACTTGGTTCAAATGCTATTTGAGCTTGGTTCCGAGGCTTTGGTTCAAACAGCAATGCAAACCTTCCCACTTGAGTTCCTAAACAAGGTTGCTGGAAAATTTGGGGATGTTGCATACATCTTCCAAACAGGAAGCAATTACTGTCGCTGAAAGCCACGATTAAATTAATTTGATAAATACTTTGCACCCAATGTTTCACATTGGGTCTTTTCCTGCTTTCATATTACAAGGAAAGTCTGTGATCTGAAGACAAAAGAACTAACTATTAGGGACTTTCTCTTGTTCCAGATTCTATTATACATTTAATACGCTCCATGAGCAATGATCATATATAATTTTGTTGTGAACTACAGGCATTTGTCTTGGCAGAGGCTTTATTTTTTACTCATCAACACTGACTTCAGCAGCCCAGCTCAGGCTCTGATCAGCACTAAACTGATCCAAAAGACTTAATGAATTAAAAAAAAAAAAAATCATCTATATTTTTAGTTCATCTTTCCGTAGTCCTCGTCCAATAAAACGGAGGAGAGAAATGGTGGAAGTGGAACACTAATCTTCACAAAAATGCTGGTCTCCCTGCAATAATCAAAGCTCTGATTGTGCCAAGCCTTTAAGCACATGCTTATCTGTAAGCACATACTTAAACCCATTTGCTTTCAGCAAAGCAAATTTGAGCATATTATGTTTTTTATATGATTGCCTATAATTACAGGGGACTGCACTGAATGACCTTCTAGCTATATTTCCAGTCATATGATCGCTTTAAAACTGAGATGTTAGTGAGACTTCAACACGTGCTTAAAATTTCCTAAGTGCTTTGGTGAACTGTTACAACATTCGAGCATTCTCAAGCATCTCTAAACAACAGCGCATCTTGACTCTCATGCCAACAGAGATGATGAAATGTTCCATGGCAATTTGTTTGCAATTTTTTTGAGTTAAATGAAAAAAAAAATCCAATATGGATTCTCATTTTTTCAGCCTTTTTTTTTGGTGGAAAGGAAATCTAATTTTTTTTTTTTTTTCATTTTTGGGTCGCATTAAAGTTCTTCTTATTTTGCCTTAGCTTATTAATAGCAAAAAAAATTATTTCTTGCACAAGGTCTGCCTACAAAATTATTAATGTATCTCACACCTTTACGATAGTTTTATTATGAACTTTATTATGTGGCTAGAATGATGCCATCTGATTCTTGCAGAGTGATTTAGCATCAAAACATATCTCCCAGTTTACACTCGTGTAAGCACTCTCATGTGGCTCAATGATGCTTATCCCACAGCAAGTTACACAACTCCATCAGTCTGATCAACATGGCACAATTTGTCCATACTTCCACGTTTTAAGTGAAGAGAATATTTTTTCATACTCCTAACATTAAAGATCTTTAGCCAGACTACATCGTTATCGTGAAAGTAATACCTAATCCCTGACTTATTTTTAATTAATTTGTGTTCTATAAACAATCCCACAAAACAGTCCATTTTTTAAGGAAACTGTTCCATTTAAATTATTATTTTCAAATCACATTTCTACAGCAGATGGTCCTACTGGCAACCAAAGGGTCAGACTTTTATATCCTCCTGGACCTTCAGTAGGTCCCAACTCCATAAGCAGGCCCAGCAATGGTGCTGCAAACTGAGGCAGAAGGGAGGTGATGTAGGGGAATCCAGATCTACCCAACAGCAGTGAAACAGAAGCGTGTGGCTGATGGGCACTGGTTGGAGAGGCACACAGTCCAGCAGAACCTCAGCATTTCTCTAAAATCAGAAAGTACTCTTCTGAGCACATCCTGAAATTACTTTTACAGTATTAAGGTAACACCAGACTAGAAATCTTCCAGGATTTCACTTTCTGGGCTATTGTCAGAAGTTTTTTAGTGCCCCAAAGATCATGGCATCCTTCTAGTCTCCTAGACTTCTTTTTTAACACTTTTCCCTGTATCAGGTATATCTGAATTTGATCTTTTATTTATAGTCTGTTCATTGTATGGAAGGGGTGAGAATAAGGCTTTTTCTCTGCTTGTGCCCTTTTTGGTTTTTGGATGGTTGGGCCTTTTTCTGTGTTTCCTTTCACACCCTGGGCCACATGCTGTCTGCTCTGCTGTGTAGTTTTGCAGAAAATATCACACTATCTGGGTTTGTAAACCCCTGGTTTCATCACCTTTGAGTTTCCTTTCATGGCTTCTTATCATGGACCCACTAGTTTAGACCTTCTTCAAATTTTACAACAAATTAATTTACTACTATTTATATTTACTATCAAAACCAGCTGTTCTCTGAGAAAATTAAAAAAAAAAAACAACCCTACAGTTCTACTTTACACTTCTTTTGCAAATATGTTAGAAGATTTTAGCGTGGTTCTGTCAAACGCGTTTCTTCTCTAATTCAGTCTAGTTTATGGCCATTTTCCCTTTACATCCTTTGGGAAAGTAGTTACTAAATTCTGCAGTATTATAAATGGAGGCCAGTTCTGAAATCCCCCCAGAGACAGCAGTCATTTTCTCATATCTTCCCACACATTCAACACATTTGAAATCCACAGAGTATTCCTGTGAGTATTTTCTAAACTAAATGACCAAAAAAAAAATGTTAATTTTATGGTCCGATCTCACAAGGCATCAAGCATCCTCTGAGAGATACTGAAAACTTTCTGCTTCAAATAGCTTCAGCTTTAGTTTAGTGGTGAGGAGAGGCTACACACAGCAATTTGCAGGACTGAGTCCTAAACTGTAGTTGTCAAATATTACTCATTAGTCTACAACCATTCAACTCTTTCAATCTTAGATAAAATGAAAAAAGGAAATTTTTAGCTGCCTGAACATCTAACCACAGATTGGACGGTATCAGCCCTCCATTCCTCAGTTCATTTATAATCCAAGTCACATGTAATTAGTCATATCTCAAAGAAAGAGCCCTGTTTAAATATTTAACCCCACCTTCAGCAGTAAGGCCACACCAGTTCCTGTGTCAGTGGCTGGCAAAACTCCAAAGAAAACTTGATATTCTGATCTCCAAGTACTGCAGGAGAGGCGGTGCTCAGGCCACTGTTAGTGGCAGCTAACGTACAAGGTCAGATACCAGCTTCGTGCAAGGTTTTGCCTCTGTCTTCAGTATGTGTGAGCCTGGTCTCTGCCTTTGAAGTCCATTCCCAACAACTCATTTCCCACTGCTTTAATGCAGAGAACACTTTTTTTTTTCATGATTGGAAAAGAAGAATCAATAAGAAATACAAACTCTCTATTTGTATTCTTGACATCCATACATTAAAAACAAGCTAACACATACTGTACTTAAAATGCATTCCCATTACCCTAAATTTTAAAAGTACTATTGAAAGTACTGCTAACTTTAAAAAACTGTACTAAATTCAAATAGGTCCCAAGGCTAATGGAAGCAATTTGTATACCAACCCAAACTGACTGGCCCACTTTTCAAAATACAGGTATGATAATCTTGTGGTTTTAAAAGGACATTTAAATTGAAAGACTGTGAATTTAGTACATAATTATACCAATAGAACCCTTTAACTTGTCAACTTGTAAATCTAAAAGGCTATCAATCATTTCTAAAGAGGAAATAAACCTTAAAATTCTTTGATTGACAGTGCTTACTTTTTATGTGAAAAAAAAAGGAGTAAAGTGGCCAGAAATCCATTTACAAAAGTACATTGTTTTACATAGGTGAGTAAAAAGCCAATAATTACACCTCCAAAAGACATATAAATCAAAGTAAGTACTTTTCCCTCACTTACATATTTTAAGTTGCAGTAAACTTCAGGTAACTTTTTATTAAAATACTTCTCCAAATGCAAAGATTATTGAAGCCATTAATAGAGTAGCATTTTCATTTAAGCTAATATAATCATTTTTGCAAATACAAGATTTAAGCCATTTTTCTCCTTCCAAACAATAAACTTTCAGCCTGTCTCTTGTGTGAATTAACTAAAATTACACCCAGGTGTACAAAATCTGTCTATCTATCCTAGTGTATGAGTTAAGGCACAATATTTATTATTCTTACCATTTTATGAATTACTTCTTAAACCCTTGAGGAAGAACTTACTTTCAAATTAGACTCTAACAGAATAAGCTGTGAAGCTCTTTATGCAGCAAGTCTAAAGCCATAACTCATAAAATCTAAGGCTTTTAATCAAGAAAATGCACAATGTCTACGGAAATAAGGATGTGTACTTTATATTCACCTTTTCAAAGTCCAACTTATTTTTCAACAGAAATGCTGCTTATGCCTCTGATAAATGTTTCCATCATAACTATAATTCCAAATTCTGCACGAATAATTTTAATAACTACCTGTAGATAATGCACCATCTTTAAAAGTCTCTTTTTTTTTTTAACTAGTCAGTGGAGGGCTTTTTTTAATATTTCACATAATGAATTCCTACTGTGTCAATAAAGCTTTGGTCGTTAACTGAATGACTGCCTGATGTATCTGAGAGAGGAATTTGTTTCTCTGGCCACACTGCCAACTTACAGCAGAATGATCGACACTTAATATCAGCAATTAAAAGGACCTGTTCAAATATCATATGGAATTCGTAGCTTGGGGTAGTGTAGGAGAACTCTTCACTAAGGAAAACTCACTCAGTGAATGCAGAGAGTAATTGAATTAGACACATTTTAACATTATTATTCAAAGAAAAATAAACACACACTACATAGAAGCATTATGGAAATATTTCAGAACATAAAACATATCCAGTTAATTTGTTTCCCATGCATTCATGGTTTCACTTATTCCTTTTATTTTTCAGCCCTTGTTTCTTTTTCATTTTGTTTGACCCAAAACCAATGAGAAAGCAGCACTTAGACCTATGAACTTCCCATATGCTTTTCCAGTGG